CACCATTATCACACACCAGGTTTACTGCCTCACCCTGCCCCACACTACACATAGAGTAAGACTTTGCTTTTACTACTGCACATAGTGTTAATTTACTTTCCAACAGTTTGCCTTGCATTGGCTTCTTAAGCCTTGTATATGCATTGAAATCCTGGGATGTGAAACATGTGGGGGAAAAGGGAGATCTCACCTGCTGCCCCAACTGACAACTTCCATATTTTCATGGCTCATTAGTGAACAAAGCCAATATAAGTACTAACTTGAATGAGGGTGTGAGATACATTTAAAGGTAGGTACCCTGGAGGGTGGGACACGGGTGGCACTGTGGGTTAAACCACAGAGCCTAGGACTTGCGGATCAGAAGGTCGGCGGTTCAAATCCCCGCGACGGAGCAAGCTCCCGTTGCTTGGTCCGTGCTCCTGCCCCCACCTAGCAGTTCGAAAGCCCGTCAAAGTGCAAGTAGATAAATAGGTACCACTCCGGCGGGAAGGTAAACAGTGTTTCTGTGTGCTGCTCTGGTTCGCCAGAAGTGGCTTAGTCATGGTGGCCACATGACCCGGAAGCTGTACGCCGGCTCCCTCGACCAATAACGCGAGATGAGCGCCGCAACCCCAGAGTCGGTCACGACTGGACCTAATGGTCAGGGGTCCCTTTACCTTTACCCTGGAAGGTAGCTTCAAATCTGCCATACATAATGTAAATAACAAACTACTGCATTAGACAGAAATAAAACAACCTGCCAGGCAGCCACACTGAATGATGTGCAAGAAGCTTCAACCAAAGACCTTCTCCCTGCTCTCAGATAGTACAGTACCAACCAGTGAAATGGAGGGGAGTGTTCTGAAAAAAGGCATGGCTGGCTGAACAGGAGCCAATTTTGTTGCAGATCCCATTATGATCCCATTTTTGTTTTGTTTTTAAATTTTGTGTCAAGGGGGAGAAAATTCAGGACAGCAAGAGAGTCACACGTATTTTAGCCTCATAGCAAAGTCATGGACATACCCAAAGGATGAAGCAAAAATAAATAAAAGTTTAAAAGCAGATACCTTTGCAAATATAATTCTAAATATGGTAGACTAGAAAGTTCAGTTGACTTCCATGTGACATTTCCAGTGGTTTGAATTGCTGCTCAGTTACTGTTAAGCCTAATGCTTGGGAGTAAGCTCTTTCCAAGTAAGATTTAAGGTGAAAGCAACCCAAGAAATGCATCTCAGACTGGGTGCAAATACTACTGGTGCCTAACACCACAGAGAATGCCTTCCCCGATCTCCATTAGCCCCCCCCACTACCCCATCCCTCCCTTAGGTCATCCAGTTAAAAGGTCATATTCCAGGAACCTAGGTTACTTCCACCAATAATTAACTGAGGACCGAGTTCATTAGTTAAAACTGGGCTAGCACACATGTGAAAATCACCAGAGCCTTTGATACGGGAAGAAAAGGGAAAGCAATCTGTAACCCATCAAAGCCTTTGCCACAATAAATGGCTTGTCTATTCCAGTGTACACAAAGGTGCAAAATAACAGGAATAGTAAAGTTCTGCAACTGCCCTATTAACATACTGCATTCAGTTTGACTCCTTTATATTTCATCAGTTTAGAAGGCACCCAGCATAAAACATCTTCATAATTGTAATCATATATTTGACCATTTAACGTGTGCACCATAATGTACCATTAGTTACACAAATAACTAATAATTTGCTAATGACAATATTATGTTAAGTCAGTTTAGGGGCAATTAAAGTGAATGATATTTACATATGCCTAATGAATCACCGTCGATGGCAGATTAAGAGATTCTAATGAATATTCATCCAGACATTCACAACCAGCTCCACAGTTTATAAACTGAATTATGGTTGATTTGCCCTTTTAAAAATGAATATGTGAGTATCTTCTGCATGGAAAGAATGAACAATTGGGGCTGATTGTAAAATTTTTTAAAGCGATGTACTGGTCAGGACACAAAACATTTTTATGCACTCTCATACCCCTGAGCTTCTAAGCTCTTTTTATACCACATATCAGCGTTGATGAACTATCTCCATTTTCATTCGAGCCGAAGACATGAAATATAGAAATTGTTTTGTGTTGAATTAAATGCAATTGGAAAGTTTTATGCATCCTCACTAAAAGAAATAATTACAGGTAGGAACCCATCAGCTCACAGGGCCTGCAAACGATGCCCTGGCCGTCAACATTAAACAAAGCAAGAGGGAAATCTTTAGCAGCAGATTCACAGAGATGATCCAACACTTGCTGAAACAGATATAAATAATTTTCCTTTTTAAAAAAAAAAACTTGCACTGGAATCAGCAATGCTGGAAAGAACTCAGAAAGGGCAAAAGGATAGGATCAATGCAGGAAGCTGCCTTACACTGAGAGCATGGTCCATCTAGCTCAGTATTGTCTACTTTGGCAGCGGCTCTCTCTAAGGCTTAATACAGGAGCCATTCCCACCCTACCTGGAGATAGATGCCAGGATTGGGACTTGGGACCTCCCTAACACAAGGTGGATTCAGTCCTTCCCCATTCTGGAGGGAACACTGAGGCCTCTGGACGTTGTTGGTTTCCCACCATTCCATCATGGTCAATGCTCAGGAATGATTGTGGGTGAGGGAGGGTCAGGTTCCTCCATCTTTATTTGTTTATTGTAAAAAGGGTGTATCCCAGTCCTGTTCAAAAAGGGAGCCAACGTGGCTAGTTGGGTAAGCATGAGGCTGTGGGATTTCAGAAGGTATGAAGGCTTTGCCTGGACCAAGTGTCACACTCACATCCCTGTAAGCTATTGGGATGGAGATAGGAAGCAGAGGAAGGGGAAGGTAGATGAGAGGGATCTGTTGAGGGTGCACAGAAAACATCCCACTCCGCAGAGAAGGGAGAGGATAGCTTTCTCCCAGCCTTAAACCCTTAACTGCAGCACTGATCCAAGAACTTTTGCTGTGTTAATGGGGGCCCAAATGAGGCTTCATGTCACATGGGGCAGCACTTTAAACAGTCTTGCTGCACCAACCAGGCATCATTTTCTGCCTTCATCTGTGTCCGCTCCCTGAAGGCCCCAGTGCTAACTGAAGCAGGCAGGTTCATTCTGCCGCATGGCATTCAGAGGGCATTGATAGGTACAGTGGTACCTCGGGTTAAGTACTTAATTCGTTCCGAGGTCCGTTCTTAACCTGAAACTGTTCTTAACCTGAAGCACCACTTTAGCTAATGGGGCCTCCTGCTGCCGCCGGGCCACCGGAGCACAATTTCTGTTCTCATCCTGAAGCAAAGTTCTTAACCCGAGGTACTATTTCTGGGTTAGCAGAGTCTGTAACCTGAAGTGTATGTAACCTGAAGCGTATGTAACACGAGGTACCACTGTACTTAGAAAAACTCAGAGCACAGTGCTGTGCACAGGGGCGGTTTTAGGATGGCGTGACTGGTGCAGTCGGACTGGTCACCACACTGCACGGAGCGCCAAAAAATGCTTTAGAACGGAGTGAGAGAAGCGGGGTGCCAAATTTTAGTGTCGTACAGGGTGCTGCTGAATTTTAAGAGCCCAAAATTTGCGACTACCATGAAACAAATTTGCCTCTGGGCAAATTAAGATGGTAGCTTGCTAGGAATGTGTTTTGCAAAGTTTTAAATATAACAGTTAAAAAGAGAGGAAGGGGCAGGAGATGCAGGGCTCAGGGCAACAGGCACAGAGCTCAGGCCTCTGGGGTAACCGCTAAAAAGACCCTTGATGGCAGGACCACCCCTGACTGAGGACAGTTCGGAATAGCAGCTTCCTGTAATACCAGGGCATTGGCTGGCAGGCATCCAGCCTCACTTTATAACTACCCCTTTACCCATAAGGCATGCACTGTGATGGTTCGCAGAGAAAGCCTTCACTCTTCTCCCTCTTCTACTGGATGCTGCTCAGGACAAACTTCCTAAGACCCACACTTGACATTAGCAGAAGACAACAATCAGTGGCAGCCAATTTGGACATGCCAGCCTCAGGCAGTGTGGGAATGCAGCAATGCTCATCTCCCAACAGCTGAGTTGCTGCTGCTTACCAGGAAGGAGTGGGAGAGGGGTGAAGCAGCCAGGAGGTTGTTGTGGTGCAACACAGCCAATCTGGTGCTTCCGCCGGTACATTTGTGCTGAACCAACCTTCCCCTGCAGCATGGTAGGAATTTTACTCTTTCTTTATTGCTCTTTAACTAGCAGGTTGTTGAGCTCTTTTAAGTCTGATGACCTGCCTGCAACAATATGCTTTCACTTGCAAGTGTTACCCTCACAAAAGAGACTATTTTCCTTCTAACTTCTAGGACTTCGAAGAACTTCTGTCCTTGTTAAATTGCCCTGATCCCTCTTGTCCTGCAGCAGAATCCTTTCTCGGTTGTATAACTTCAACACTTTCCATTGCTTTATGACACTGCAACTTCTCTTGGGTAATTTGCATGGAAACAAGATATAAACATACTTTGCATCTCTTTCCAGCTAGTCAATCTGAACTCCTCTCCCCACAGCTAGTGCAGATTATTAAAGCTATGCACAGCATTTCTGAAATCACCACCTCATATTTAGCACATGAACCCAAAAACGAATTCTGTTGGCATACTTGGAAGAAAGTTCTCTGAACTGTGTTTGGTGTAGCTTATTCTCAAACAAGTACATGAAATTGATTTACAGACAGGAGAAAAAGAGTCTGAGAGACAGCTCCCAGTTATAAGTTGATTATAATTATTGTTACACTTGCATATCTGTCAACAAGATTCTGTGGCTGTCGTTGTTGAATATTCAACCTGGATTTCTAAGTGATCTTAACTAAGTTTGATTCAATTTAAGCACAGAAAAGATCAATTTTCTCCACTACCACTGACCTTCTTGGTTCTTACAATAGTATCTAAGCCTTATTTTGGGTACTTAAATTTTTTGTTTATGTCACAGATGAAACTGCTATGGATTCCATGTAGAAATGACTGACTCACAAATATGCCATCACAAGGCAAAGCAGTAGGGAACATGTTGCCTTATAGTTCAGTCAGTAGAACATGAGACTCTTAATCCCAGTGTTGTGGGTTCAAGCCCCATGTTGGCCAAAAGATTACTGCATTGCAGGGGGTTGGACTAGATGACTGTTGTGGACCCTTCCAACTCTAAAATTCTATGATTCTATTATTCTAAACTGGTGGGAAAGAGTGGCAACCACATTCAATGACCTCTTAGTCTTGTCTAAGTAGAGAAAGTGATAAAAGGGCAAAACCAGAGCAATGTACAGTTAAAGCACTAACATTATTAGTCATTTTACTGCCTGTAAAGAGATTTCTAATTCTGCTTTACCGCATTTACACTAAAACAAGCTAGCTTTAGCCCAGAATAGTGAGACTCTGCTCTAATATAACAATCTCCTTTCAAATCATATCTGGTAATACATAGTAAATGTGATTACTAAAGGTAAAGGGTAAATGGAACCCTGACCATTAGGTCCAGTCGTGACCGACTCTGGGGTTGCGTGCTCATCTCGCTCTATAGGCCGAGGGAGCCGGCGTTTGTCCGCAGACAGCTTCTGGGTCATGTGGCCAGCATGACTAAGCTGCTTCTGGTGAACCAAAGCAGCACATGGAAACGCCGTTTACCTTCCCGCCAATGCGGTCCGTATTTATCTACTTGCACATGATGTGCTTTTGAACTGCTAAATGTGATTACTACCTTTCTGCAGATAGGAAACTAGTGACTTGCATGCGCAGTGTAATGACTTTGTGGTTGACATATGTGCCTGACTGGTGCTAGATGGTTATTCCAAAAACAAAGGAGTCAATACCCAGCCCAACATAATCATTGCAATTATCTGGTGAAGAATAAAAAACAAACAAACTTTAACATGATATCGAAAATGATTTATCCTGATGTGTTTTGAGCCAGGGCATATTTAAGAGATACTCTAAAACGCCATTTTTAAACCAAGCATGTGATCCGTAAACCCGATTTTAAATATGATGCAACTACAGGTAATCACGACAAAGACTATTTTAACAGTTCTATTTCAACAAGTGGTAAAAAAAATCAGTTCATTGACAATACTGAGCTAGATGTACCAATGATCTGATTTAAGATAAGGCAGTTTCCTATGTTCAGTAGTGGACACTGTGCTGGGTTAGCAGTGCTCACATGACCTCCGACAGCCAGGTCGCTGCTGCTTGCTGGAAAGGATGCAGAAGCGCCAGGGAGGTTTGTGTGGTATAAACACACTGATGGAGCCAATCCAGTGCTCCCGCCATTGTGTTTGCACCATGCCAGTCTCTCCACCACCTCTCTCCTTCTCCTCTCCTTCCCAGTAAGCAGCAGGGACTCTGCTGCTGGGAGGCCAGGTGAGTGCCACCACCCCACCATGCCATCTGCTGTTGCCTGTATTCTTCATCCCCATTGTGGAGGGCAAATGGCAAAGGAGAGCTTTTCTCCTTCGCGTCCCCTTTGCGGTCTTCCCAACGGCATCTGGTCACCCACTGTGGGCGATGGGTTGCTGGCCAAATGGGCCATTGGTCTGATCCACCAGGGCCCCTCTCATCTCCTTAATGTCCCCTTCCACCTGCATTTGCCCTAAGAGCCCCAAGCTGCTTGCCAGCAAAGCCACAAAAATGGTGGCAGTGACATTTGTTAAGAGACAGGCTCCTTTCCAAGGGTCCAATTCTGCCTTCCTCCACGTTGGTTGCACAGGAAGGCTGATAGGCATTTAATGAACCACCGTCTAACCTGTGTGGAATAATCTTCCTGCTAATCTCCAAACTTGCTTCCTATCTGTCCAAGCAGCAGCAGGACTTAAATCTCTTGTTTACACTTTACTAGCTGCAGATTGTAAATGTTTTATGAGACGCTGAGCTTGCAGCATTACTATTTTATTAGAACGTTGAATATCTTGGGTTCATTGCTGTCTTGCTCGCAAGTTCTGCAAGGGGAAAAAAATTACCTTCTTACTTTACATGAATGACAATTCGGGAACCTGAAAGATGTGGTTTGTTGTCTTAATTGCTTTATGCCTCTTTGGATGGATGTGGGAATACAGACTTGGAAACATTCCCACTGTTTGTCTTGTTGAAATGGTGCATAGCTCCTGAATTAAAAGAAAGTTTAATATTTGTCATTAGCCATATGAACATTCTGTTAATATCAGTTTCGGAGCTGAGGCCGACTGAAGGATGATATTCTCGGATCCAGACATTTGGGCTGCATACACACCATTTATTTAAAGCACATTTAAAACATTTTAAAAAGGAATCCTGGGACGTGTAGGGTACTGGAAATTGTAGTTCTGTAAGGGTATTCTGTAAGGGACGCGGGTGGTGCTGTGGGTAAAAACCCGCGGCGGGGTGCGCTCCTGTCGCTCGGTCCCAGCGCCTGCCAACCTAGCAGTTCGAAAGCACCCCCGGGTGCAAGTAGATAAATAGGGACCGCTTACTAGCGGGAAGCTAAATGGCGTTCCGTGTGCTGCGCTGGCTCGCCAGATGCAGCTTGTCATGCTGGCCATGTGACCCGGAAGTGTCTGCGGACAGCGCTGGCTCCCGGCCTATAGAGTGAGATGAGTGCACAACCCTAGAGTCTGGCAAGACTGGCCCGAACAGGCAGGGGCACCTTTACCTTTAAGGGTATTCTGGGGTGATGCTTTCAATGGGTTTTTAATGTACACAACCTTGCTTAAAACACAACCGTGTGCTTGCTAAAGAAATGTACACTCAGGAGTGTCCACTTTCCACTTTTTCTCACGGTGTGGAGGCTGAAAACCAAGTTTCAAATTACCACTGTCCCATTTCCTATTGCATGCCTACAAAGGGGTACAAGCAGGTGTACATTCCCTCCAACTGCCTTGTACTTACTTAGCAGCTTATGATTATTCTCCGGAATCAACAATCCATTTAGATAAGTGGAGATGTGTTCTGCCAGCGACAGTGGGGAGATGGCAAACGGGAGACCCCTTAAACCAGAGGTAGGGACCCTTTTTCAGTCCAAAGGCTACATTTCTTTCTGCGTACCCTCCGATGGTCACATACCAGTGGGGGGCTGGGGGCAGAGGCAAAAGTGAGTGGAGCAATGGATGTAAAAGTTACCTTTGTACTGAAGCAAGTTTCTACCCTCACTCACACAGTTCTCCCTATCCCCCAGACAAGGCATTGAGAGGACATAATCCAGCCAGGCCAAACAAAGTAGGGCCAGTAAAGAGTGTGGCCTGGGGAGAGGGGGGTGACCTGGGGAAATTTCCAAGGCCTGGAGGACTGCATTTGGCCCCCAGGGCTGAAGTTCTCCACCATAGGAATGGTGCAGAAGGGCTTAAACAGGCAAAACAAAGAGAGTCAAGGTCACATGGATATAAATGTCTGCCTTGTCAGAGTCAGGCTATCTAAGGGGCCTTTAGTGAGGGACTGAAATTGGAACCTAATGGTTACACAAAGCCCTGGTTCCTTTCTTTCAGCACTCCCAAATTACACAGCATGCCCCAAAGCTCAGGGGTCCTTTCACTGTCCTGAAGAGTTGGAGACCAGGAGAAGTGGCATATCTATGGCCAAGTACACAGGAAACCAACAGCATGTGATGTTGTGATGCATTGGCTGAGTGCAGTTGCTGCCAGGCAAGGAAGAGGAGAAGCAAAATACAGAGGAGGCGTGCCAGTGGGGAGATGCCCCAGAGGGATGACAGCCTCTCACTCTGTTGCCTTCAGAAGCCAGGGAAGGAGGAGGAGGAGGAGGAGGAGGAGGAGGAGGAGGAGGAGGAGAGTTTGGATTTGATATCCCACTTTATCACTACCCTAAGGAGTCTCAAAGCGACTAACATTCTCCTTTCCCTTCCTCCCCCACAACAAACACTCTGTGAGGTGAGTGGGGCTGAGAGACTTCAAAGAAGTGTGACTGGCCCAAGGTCACCCAGCAGCTGCATGTGGAGGAGCGGAGACGCGAACCCGGTTCCCCAGATTACGAGTCCACCGCTCTGAACCACTACACCACACTGGCTCTCCGTCATGCTCCACCCATGGAGCAGAGGGATGCCCCAGCAACAGGGGAGGGTGTTGACAAGCCAGGAGTAGAGGCTGGCTAGCTGGAGGAGGAGGAGCCAGAGGGACGGACTTCTGTCCTGTTGCCAATAACGTGGTGCTGCCCCCGCCACTGGAAACAAACCCACAGCCACATCAGAATAAACACAAGCCTCCAAGTCTGCCAGTCTCACACTTGGAGGGCTGCATTTGGTCCTGGGCCCCCCCACCACCCTGGAACAACTGCTGGTGCTTGGCCCTTGATCTCTCAGCCCGAATCTCCCACTTTAATCGCCACTGTGTTGTTTTAATGGGATTGCTTTATGGTATACTTTTGTTTATGAGCATTTACATTTTTACACTTGTCAGCTGCTTAGAAGCCTATTTTGGCATCGAGCGGTATATGTGCTTTTAGTCTGGTTTTACAGTTTTCATTGCATTTTAAAACAACTCCAAATATACAATTTTAACTTTTATCGATGGAACGTATGTAGTTTATGTTGTGTTTCAGTCACTTCAGTGGCAATGCTGAAAGTGCAGTGGTACCTCGGGTTAAGAACTTAATTCGTTCTGAAGGTCTGTTCCTGAAACTGTTCTTAACCTGAAGCACCACTTTAGCTAATGGGGCCTCCCGCTGCCGCCGCGCCGCCACTGCGCAATTTCTGTTCTCTTCCTGAAGCAAAGTTCTTAACCCGAGGTACTATTTCTGGGTTAGCGGAGTCTGTAACCTGAAGTGTCTGTAACCTGAAGCGTCTGTAACCCGAGGTACCACTGTATAGAATAATGATGGTGAGAATTGTGACAGTATATCCCTTTTGCATCCAGGACTGTTTTTAGTTTAAAGGCGTTAATGCTCAGTTTGCAAACACCAGCAATGTAAAATTATGCTTCTGTGATAGGAATGGAATGCCCTGGAGTGTTAGAAAAAAACCCTGGTGTGTTCCCTGGCCTTGGCTGAGAGCCTATTCAAATGTGATTTACCATGGTACAGTCCTCTCACAAAACTTTAGCACATAATGGACACGTGAGGGCTGTTTGCTTTCAAAGTTTCTTCTGTCTACACTTCAAAATTTGCTTGGGATAT